TGGCAAAGATAAAAGAAATCAGTTAATAGAAATGAGTTATTAAAACTATTATGTTTAGAAACAGTGGCGGATTTAGATATGGGTGATTGCCCAGGGCGGCATCTTGTTAGGAGTGGCATGGGGAGATGACATATAGCTTAAAAAGTGCCGCAGTAAAAGCTTTGAGATAAGATTTACTTTATGCAAGTGTATTAGTGGGGTAACACTGTATAATAACTACACACTATGAACCATTTATTAAGCATTAGCAAATAGTGAATTCAATATCTGTTAAGCATTAACCGTACATTAATAAACGTTAGTAAGCAGTTTAAAACTGCAACTACGAAAGCTGTATTCTTGACTTATAACCACATTTAGGGTGCTTTCACACTAGCACTTTTGGTCCGCACCCGGGTTCGTTTGACGTCATAGTACGGTACGTTTAGCTAGTGTGAACGTGTCTTCTGAACTCGGGTGCGCACCCGTGAACCGTACCCGAGTCCGCTTGAAAGAGTAGGTCTGGGGTATGATTCATGCGAACTCTGGTACGGTTCACTTCTGACGTGAATGCAATCGTACCAAATCACGGAAGTGAACCGCAGACTGTACAACAAACTATCATTTTCATAACGTTCGTTTATGTTTGTGTGTGTGTGTGTTTGTGTGTGTGTGTCACGTTTCGTACCTTGGTGACACGCGTGGGACTGAGCCAGGGCAAACACAGTGATACACAGTGATGTCTGCTTGTCTCCTCCAAAAACAGCTTCTGCAGACACTGCGTGATGTTCTGAATGTTTGTAATATTTTTGCAACAGATGGACGCGAGTCCAAAATCAAAAGCTTCAGTAAAAGCAGAATGACTGCGATGTGAGGAAGTCTTTCCATTTTGGCGCTTTCTTTCGTGACCGTCACCTAGCAACGACCGTAAACAAAACAGCAGCTCGATGACGCAAGCGTACCGGGGTTTAGAAGGAAAAAAGACAGTGTGAACACAAACCAATGGAGGAGGTGGCAGGAGGAGACAATCGGACTTGGGTACGGTCCAGGCAAATGAACCAAGTGTGAAAGCACCCTAATAATGTGGTTAATAGTTGTACTTTCATACTTAGTTAATGATTTATTTTTCATTACTAAATTAAGTATCATATTATTTACAAACCAGACGTATTTAAAAGTAGTTGGAGGTTTTTAAGATCATTCAGAATGAGTTAGTAAATCATTAATAAACTATTAAAATTTACATTTAGAATTCTTATTACTCAGGCATGTACCAATAGTTAACTTGTATGTTATTAAATGCTTTATAAACTCAACTTCATCCATTTTTGTGACCTAATCTAAAGTGAGGACTATTCATGCTTTATGAATGCCTTATAAATGACAATTAAAGAGTCAGTTAAATTATAGTTTACTATACAGTTTAAACATTGCATCTTATTATATTGTTAAATTATAATATTGTTGTTGTTTTATTTTGACACTCTGGTTATTCAGCAATGTTTAATATTTACAATAATTTTGCTTTTTAGATAAGATTGCAAAGATTATTGTTCATTTGATATCAAGCCTTTATTTATCATTTATAAGGGATTTATAAAGCATGAATAGTCCTCACTTTAGATGGTCACAAAACTGGATGAAGTTGAGTTAATAAAGCATTTATTAACATACTGTACATAGTAATTAATATATGCCTGAATAATAAGATGTATAAACGAACGTTGATTTCAATAGTTTATTAATGATTTACTAACTCATTCTGCATGATCTTAAAAACCTCCAACTACTCTTAAATACAACTGGTTTGTAAATAATACAATACTTAATTTAGTAATGAAAAACAAATCATTAACTAAGTATGAAAGTATAGTTATTAAGCACATTATACATGTGGTTGTAAGTCAAGAATACAGCATTTGAAGCTGCAGTTATAAACTGCTTACTAACGTTTATTAATGTAGAATTAATGCTTAACAAATAATGAATTCACTAGATGCTAATGCTTAATAAATGGTTAATAGTGTGTAGTTTATTATAAAGTGTTACCAAATATATTGTTTTTAAATGTCTGGGTAAAAAAACAAAAACGTTTTCCCCTTTAATTACACAATATATTTTATTTTTTGAAAGATTTAAAATATTTTGGAGCAGTAAACTTGTCAGGCAAAATAATTAAAATGAATCATCGGCTTCTGCCGTCTTATTTGTTTCAAAAACACTGATTTCTTTACAGTTTAAAATGGCATCTTTGGATATCTTTTCTGCTGGAGATACTGCTGTCCTAAAAAATAAATAAATAAATAAATAAATAAATATTACACATACCTTAGGAACAGTTTTATAATTTTGACATTTCCAAACCGGGGTATACCTTTAAAAAAATAACAACATTTTCAATCAGTTTTAAACACTTTATTCTGCCCTTTTTAAAACTTTATATTAAAATAGATTTAAATTCAAGCCTTTTCACATGCAAACATGTGATTCTTGATTATTGTTATTATTATATTCTTCTTGCTGAGGTGATGGTGCTAACCACTGAGCCAACATGTAGCCCCTTTTATTTTGGTTACAGAACATATAATGTTGTCCAATGACTTGCTAATTAACCAGTTGTTTTATATATATGTATATATATGTGTGTGTGTATATATATATACATATATATATCAAATTTTACAGGATTTTGATCACCATCATCATCTTAAGATTTAGGTAATGTTGGTTATTCATTTGAATATGGTCCCTATATTGTTTACCACTCTACTTTGAATATTCAATCTGAATTAACGTTAGCATGCGAGTATGACTTGATAACAACATTAGCACCATTTATTTGACTGTGAACAATGTTGTATTTGAATTGCCGGCTAATATGATTTCACTATACTATACTTAACGTATCTGAAATTATATTATTAAGGATAATGTCTGAACGTCCGAATAAACAACCAACTTTACCTAAATCGTCTTGAGTCTGATTTAAAAGCACATCTCTTATAAAACTGGCAATAATTTTTCTACAAATAAAACGTAAACACGTGTTTTTGTAACCAGCAAGTAACGTTAACGTTAACTGAGGCCATAGTTTCACCATGGTATTTGTAGTAAATCTGTGGGTTACACAAACAGTAATAATAAATACGCCAAATCAAGGACACTAAGTTACACTTGTACATGAAGCGTTAATAAAGCATGGCTAACTCACATGTAAATGTCGATAACTTAAAGAGTAAGCCGTTTCATTTACACTCTCCAGCGATTCAATACACTTTAAATTTAGCAGATTTTCCTCACAAGCACTTCTGCTTTGCGTATTTACAACCTAAACAATGGGGCTAATCAAAATATTGACGAAGGAAAACATAACAAACTACCTGTGTACAGCAGCGAGTCCAAAGATTTCCCCTTGTGCTGTGAAGTGAAAACAACGTTTCAAAATAAGAGTCACGTCTTTATGGGATATGGGAAGAGAAACGATGGAAGCACGCATATAGACTTTTATTTTAAAAATAAAAGACAGTTCAGTGTTGCAAGGCGGGAAAATAATATAAAAGTAAAAGTAATTTATTACTCATTGTTTTATTAATCATAACGGCATTTCTTGTGTCAGTAATGGTAGTAGCGCAATTATTTTTCTTCTATTTACACTATTATCCAAAAATAGGCAATTTATTTATTTGTTTCATTAATAAATTAATTTGAAATATTATAAATGTTCATTATTTAGTGAGCTGAGGTGAAAAACAAAACTAAAACTGAAATTTCCTCTTGATTTAAGCGAAATACTTACGCCTACTACGATCTCTATTGCTAATGAATTTTTCATAAAATACTGCTATAATATACGTTCTTGATAAAATTGCATTAATTATTATAGGTTTTACACATCAACAAACCTTCACTTTCCAATTGTTTTGTGTTTTAATCACTATCCCTGAATCAGGAATGAGCTAGCTATGCACTAGTGTTTTTCAGCCACTGATAAAGTTTATGTTACTATCATAGATTTCTTTTATGCTGTTATTAAAGGTTTATGAGGTTGAAAACAAGGACTTTTGGTGTGCCCTCAGGAACAGGGTTGGGAAACACTGCTCTGTACATTTATTTGCAGAAATATGAAATAGTAATTTCTGTCAATGTACACTTATTAACAGTGGCGCAAAAAGGGGGTATGCAGTATATGCGGCGCAGAGGAGCGCCACACATGGGGGGCGCCATTGTGCCAAAACTATTTTTGAAGTTATATTAAAAGTTTCAAATAATATATATATATATATTTGTTAAAAATGTTTATTTAGCATTTTATACGCGTATAATATTGTATTTTATTAAATAAAAAAATCATTCCACCCCCCACCCCCATTTTTCATACCATATACATGTTTTTATGAATTTAATATGTATCATATTGATTCATCCAGCCTTTTGGTAACTTCTTAGCTCAAAACTTTTAATTTTAGCTACAAACAAAGTTATAACGTTTCAATTAAATAGAACATTTGTTTGTTTCTGTTTTTTTTTTGTTTTGTTTGTTTTTTGTTACACTAAACATTTGACAGTCTTTTTTATTTAACTTTTAGCAGTTTCAGTCAATTGTTCTTGCAAAGACTGACCTTACACTTCTCACAGTATGCATGTGAGAAGTAATTGCAATGTTCTTTTGCCCTTTAGGACTCCCATGTCTATCGTTTTGTTTTGACAAATGTACAACAAAAAGTCCAAAAGCAAGGCTAGTCAAGGTGATATAATCATTTAGTGAGGGAAAATTAAATTGAGAAGAAATGTGGGGTGGAAAGAGATGCATTTCTTTGCGATTTAACATGCTTAATGTAATTATACCTTTTCATACTATTTCAGTTGTGTTCAGAACTGCGAAACTCTATTTTTTGAAGCATATTGATATCTTTATGAAAAAATATCTTTAATTTATTGATGGAAATATTTTTCACATTTTATTGCCTGTTATAAAATATAGTTGGATTGAAGGGGGGCGCGCAAAAGTTGAAGCCGCATACCCATCAGCAAATGTGCAGTTGCGCCCCTGCTTATTAAACATTGACAGAAAAACTCCACACTGATGAGGGAAAACCTAGACATTCACAGAGTTTGTGATAAAGATGAGGTTGTTTCCTCATGCAAACAGATTTGAGGATTGACATTTGTCTGCCTTAACAAAGAGGTTTAGTGAAGGTGGCTGATTTTTGACCCAAAGAATATGATAGTGAATTCCAAAACAACAGAAGGAGGAGGAGGGAAACATGGACATAGATGTTTGATGTTTGTTAATGGTCTTTTCCACCACAATCAAGATGTTATTTGTGCCATCGGAAAGTATGACATGACTGTGGTTTGTGGGTGGACTCTGCTGCTGGTGTGAAGTTTACGCATCAGAAGGTTTCACTTTCAAGCTGGACTGATGGTGAACGTTTAAAGTACAACATGCCTATCAGAATACGGTGTGCGTCGATTCTACTCATGTTCTGTGGTTAGTGTGTTTTGTTTTGTTCGATTTGTCTTCTTAATATAGCAAACTTAACGTCTATTGTGTTTTCTAAGGTGTGTTTGGTGGAGAGCTGGATGAAACTGAAACGATATTAGTGATGAAGGGAGACTCTGTATCTTTACATACTGGACTGGGTGAAGTGAACAGAGAGATGCAGATAATGTGGATGTTTGGACCTGAGAAAGCCAACACTCTCATTGCTGAAATCCATAGCATGATCGTCTCTATATATGACAGTTATGAAGAACTGAAAGACAGGGTGCAGATGAGCCAGAGGACTGGATCTCTCACTATCAGAAACACCTCAATCAGTCACTCAGGACTCTACGAGGCGCAGATCATGACCACGGTGACTGCATTTAAACGATTTCATGTCATTGTTCATGGTGAGTTATGATGCTTTCTCTTACATGCCACAATTTATTTACATATATATATATATATATATATATATATATATATATATATATATATATATTTAGTATGTTGAGACACATTTTTGTTATTTTGAAGCACCGGTCTCATTTCCTGTTATTGAGAACAGCTCACTTGTCAGTGACTGTCAGATGGATGGTGAGTAGTACAATACAATAGTCCATTTATGCAATGATTTACTATCAGACTATTCATATTTCTGCAGTATGTTCTGGACGGATTGTGTACAAGTTATACTGTGCACTTGTTCTTCAGTGACAAATAATGATATATACAGTATACACTCACCAGCCACTTTATAAGGTACACCTTACTAGTACCGAGTTGGAACCTCCAGAACTGCCTTAATCCTTTGTGGCATGGATTCAACAAGGTACTGGAAATATTCCTCAGAGATTTTGCTCCATATTGACATGTTTGTGCTCTATTGGATTGAGATCTGGTGACTGTGGAGGCCATTTGAGTGCAGTGAACTCATTGTCATGTTCAAGAAATCAGTCTGAGATGATTGCCGCCTTATGACATGGTGTGTTATCTTAAGTAGCCATCAGAAGATGAGTTGACTGTGGTCATGAAGGGATGGACATGGTCAGCAACAATACTCAGGTGGGCTGTGGTGTTGATGCTCGATTGGTAATAATGGACCCAAAGTGTGCCAAGAACATATTCGGCACACCATTACACCAACACTACCAGCCTGAACTGTTGATACAAAACAGGATGGATCCATGGTTTCATGTTGTTGATGCCAAATTCTGACCATCTGAATGTCGCAGCAGAAATGGAGACTCATCAGACCAGACAACATTTCTCCAGTCTTCTATTGTCCAGTTTTGGTGAGCGTGTGTGAATTGTAGCCTCAGTTTCCTGTTCTTATCTGACAGGAGCGGCACCCGGTGTAGTCTTCTGCTGCTGTAGCCCATCCGCCTCAAGGTTGGATGTTCAGAGATGCTCTTCTGCAGAGCTCGGTTGTAACAAGTACTTATTTGAGTAACTGTTACCTTTCTATCAGCTGGAACCAGTCTGGCCATTCTCCTCTGACCTCTGGCATCAACAAGGAATTTGCTCCCACAGAACTGCCGCTCACTGGATATTTGCTCTGTTTCGGACCATTCTCTGTAAACCCTAGAGATGGTTGTGCGTGAAAAGCCTAGTAGGTCAGCAGTTTAGTAGGTCATGCCAAGTTTAAAGTCACTTAAATCCCCTTTCTTCCTTATTCTGATGCTCGCTTTGAACTGCAGAAGATCGTCTTGACCATGTATGCATGCCTAAATGCATTGAGTTGCTGCAATGTGATTGGCCGATTAGACATTTGCGCTAACAAACAGTTGGACAGGTGTACCTAATAAAGTGGCCGGTGTGTGTGTGTGTGTGTGTGTGTGTGTGTTGTTACGTCCCTTCCCCTTTTTGGTCTAGGGTTGGGGAAGGAAAATAACAAAGAAAATTTAAAATTTAGAATTTGAGAAAAAAAAAGAAGTCCAAATGAATGAATGGTGTATAAATTAAATAATCAAATTTTGAGGGAACACTTCAATCCTGCCTCAGAAATGTGATCCAACCACAAGAGTAAACTTAAATTATTTTATTATTTGGTTCTTAAATCAATAAACAATAAATGAAGCATAAATCTCAGGAGAAGGATTAACCAAAACAACAAACAAAACAGGTCTAGCTCAGGAGGAGTACTAAATAACCTAATTTCAGGTAAAAGAAAAGAAATGAAACAACACAGGCTTTCCTCAACTCCCTTACTATCAATAAACACAGTCAAACAATTTCAAAAATAAAAATGGCACCCTCTCCCTACAGCTTCAATTTTTAAATCAAAAAGTCAGACAAAGAAACAATACAATTACCTTTTACGTACCACACACAAAAGAATATATGTATTTAAATCACAACTCAGAAAACAGACACACTGCCTGTAAAATTACACAACGCAGAAACAAGCAAGTTTCTCAACACACAAAAACTAAAATTGAACTCACTAGCCCATTAACTCCTTTTTACAATCAACCAGATAAACACCCACAACAATCACGAGTCTGGAGCAGGGGAGAAGTGAACCTCTCCGTGGTTTGAGACGCACTGCTCTTTTGTAGCAGCGCATTACTGCAGCACGCTCCATTGATGAGCACCACCTGGGCCCAATCAGCTCTACCAAGTGAGCAGGCAGAGAGACACCGTGAAAGTAAAAGAAACACACAACATAACCACTCCCAATGGACAGTAAACACACAAATAAATAATAAATAAATAAATACATCCAAGGCATGTAACAGTGTGTATAATGTGTTTTACAGTAGCAGGGTCTAACCGCAATTTCATTTTACAGTAAAATAGCCTTACCGCTGCAACTTTTTCACGGTAAAATGTCATTTAATGCATTGTACTACTGTACAATTTTACATTAATTTTACAGTAGTTTATTTATATTTTACAGTACAGTATCAGTGCAAAACCTTTATTTTTAGTATCTACTGTTGAATTGAATTTTCAAAGCAACAAACGTTTTATAAATGGTGTAATTTTTTGTCCTCGGCTACAGTAGCAGTACTTGACTACTTTGATTACAGTAGAATACTGCAAATACCTAATATGACCAACAGTGCAGTGCAAATTACAGTAATTAACTGTAAAGTATTTATGTGGTATTTTACTGGGTGTTTTTGCAGTAAATGACTGTAAAATTGCAGCAAAGTCTAACAATTTGGATGAGATGGCGATCACATCTACTAAATTAATCTACTGATTAAATCATTCTGCCTCAGAAGACAGCGAACAGACCGTGCCGTTTTTGCATTAATACCTGGAAAATCCTTTTTTGTGTGATTTTGAACTCATTCATTTATTGACAGAATATGTTTTACGCAGTGGATACCTTTCCAGCTGTAACACAGTAGGCTACTGGGAAACACCCATACACTCTTGCATTCACACAAGCTCTTACAGTGCTGCCAATTTAGCTTAATCAATTGCCCTATAGCGCATGTGTTTGGACTGTGTGGGAAACCGGAGCACCCGGAAGAAACCCACGCCAACATGGGAAAAACATGCAAACTCCACACAGAAATGGCAATTGATCCAGCCGAGGCTCAAACCAGCGACCTTCTTGCTGTGAGGCGATTGTGCTACCCACTGCGCCACCGTGCCACCCAAATTAGATTAATATCTACTTTAATTTTGATTTATTTAAATTAACCTAGTTCCTTTAACTGTCAAAATAAGTCACAGAACCACAACATGACTATCGAAACACTGCCCCCTCTCACCCACACACTAAGATTACACCACCTATAAGAGGATGTTTTATGTTGTAATGGTGTATAACTTCGCCCCATTTTGCGTTTTAAAATCTTTTAAACATAATTAGGCGCTGCTTGTCAATCAGACAACGCTTCAATGTGTGTTCTTGCAGTAAAAAGATCGATAAAAGCGTCATGACAAACCGCTGTGAGCTAAACTGCAGGTGTTGCGTGTAACCGCCCAATCTGGCAACACCGCTCTCGCTAACACTTCCCGTGAAGCTTACGTCACAGTTTTCTTATAATGTTTTTGGCCGTTTTTATTATCTTTACACTCATAAAGCTTCCAAAGATAAATTGTTAAATGTTTTATTTCATCGTCAGTTTCCATAGTCAGCTAATTGGCTTCTAAAAAGAGCTAGATTTACGCAGTGATTTTTAATTGGCTGGTTGGCGGTCCCGTTGCATGATGGGAAATGGCTCGCTGTAAAATGTCCTTATTTTGTTTCTTAAAAACAGATACATTTTGGTGTGACCTTTGCTAGTACTCACAGCAATATTCTGCGCTTTAATCTGGTTGGACTATGTGTAGTGTAGTGTAGTATTGCATCACCGTCATTAAGAATGAAGTTCTCGACATTGCCGCCTCTTCTGGCCCTCAATGTAATTTATACTTACCTGGGAGGGGGGACACCATGTCCACGAAGGTGGTTCACCTATGGCGAGGTCTAGCCATTGCACCCAGGCTAGTTAACCTATACGAATTCTCCAAATGTGGGAATCTCGACTGCATGATTTGTGGTAGTGGGGGACTGCGTTCGCGCTCTCCTCCATCATCTGGTTAATGATAGACGATTAGAGATATATCCAGCTGCGGAACCGCAGAACCGCACACGTTCTAGGCACACACAATCAAGGACACACGAGTTAGGCTAGCTCTACTAACTCTTTAGCATTATCGCCACCTATTGAATTTCACAAGTATGGTTTCCCATTTCAGTCATTATTGTTATTATTTCGTAACGATCGTTTTAACATCTCTGCAGTTTCTGAACTCAAATTATGTAAATAAAAATGATTGGTTAAAGACATTTATGACTTTATTCATGTGTCCACATAAACAAAGAAAACATAACAGACTGTCTAATTGTTGGATTAAGTGCAATAAACTAATTCAGAATCTTAATCTTATCATACTTGGTTAAAATCACTTTGTTGTAAAATATAAAAAGCAAACAATAATGTGTCACATTAAAATAAATTAGCCTACTATAGTTAATCATTTAAACTATATATCCATATATATATAGTTATAAACTGATTATCTTAACTGATTATCCGTTTAGAATTATAAGTTTATATATAAACTACTATCTTTTACTAACTGTCACAGCTGTTAGTTATATATATATATATATATATATATATATATATATATATATATATATATATATATATATATATATATATATATATTTTATATTAATATTTTTTATTAATTATTAATAGTTAATTTGTTCCTATTGCTAAATTTTGGTTTAAAAACAATTTATTGCTTACTATAAATTACTACAGTATTAAATGTGGGAAATCATTAATTAAAAGGTTATTAAAAAGTTAAGCAAATAAACAATATTACAGCACTTGAGTAAAATATTAATATAGTGTCATACATTTATTACATGTAAAAAGATTTTTATTATCCAAAATGTATTATTGTGATATTAACTTACTATTTCTTTCATTATAAATGAGTCCATTATACAAATTAAACTTGTCCAATTTAGATCGTTCAGCAAGGCCAGCAAACGAGTATCTGCCGTATTATTGTCAGATAATAATGACTGATCAGCTATAATGACTGATAGAAAACTGTTCAGTCTATTATGTTGAATGGCGATCGGAAACAACGCTCCCCATTCACCCGTCTCGATCGCAATATTTGTGAAATAAAGTAAAGTAAACACTATTGTTTACTGTGTACAATATTTATTAACCATATATATCAAAATATATCGATGACGATGTTCAAAAAGACGTTAATAACATTAACATCAGTCGTAACCATATGGCTAGCCTAAATCGTGTGTCCTAGATTGTGTGTGCCTAGAACGTGTGTGGTTCTGCGGGCCTGCAGCTGGATATTATTGGACGATTAAATATTCGTTAGTAGTAATTGGACGCATAATTTAACATGGTAATCAAGATGTCTATATTGTATTCCACCTGCAAGAGTACAACCTGTCCGTCAGAGAGGCACTTGATGTGTTGGAAGTGCGAGCTATGTGAAATTATCCTAAGTTCTTGTCTGTTTTTTCATTCCGGATCAATTTCAGACGGAGGCTTTCCCTGCGCTGTCTTGTGCTCAGCTGAGAACGGGCCTGGCGTCTCTCTGTCGTGGTATAAAGACGGTGAAAGACTGAATCAGACCAGCGGTCCTGACCTCAACTTCCCTCTGTCGGTGCTGCTGGAGATAAAAGAGAGAAGTAAAGATGTGTATCAGTGCGTGGCTGCTAATCCCATCAGCAACAAGACAACACCATTCAGCTTTCAGGAACACTGTCCGCAACACACAGGTGCGCTCAATTACAACAGGTTGAACCTCACACCTTCATAAAGGCCAGTTAAACTAGGCTATTTATTTATAAGGATTAGTTCTTTTTAATTGTTCCATTTGCACTGTTTAGTCTAAATGTGAATTATAAAGCATTAAGCAGAGTTCCTAAAACTATATGCTGTACGTTGTGTGATTCCTTCAAAAGTGTCAAATTAAGATTTTTTATATTATTTATCGATAATATGTGTAACAACGATAGGATTTACATTTTGTTGATGTGAATTCCTCTGAATTTGATGTTGTAAGGGTGCCCTCGTGTGGTTTACTTGGGAGCTGCAGACATATGCATCCTATATCTATATGGCGTCTGCAGTCTTGGATCCAGCCAGTTTTACGCCCCTGTTGTTCCTAATGCGTTCAGTAGGGGGGAATAAAAGATGCATGGCCACATACTACATTGAAGTCAACGCTCCCAGATTATTAAATGTCCTGTTCATAAATATATATTTTTAATTAGATTACGCTAAATATGATCGCTTAGTTAATGTATCATAAAGTGAGTTATAAACTCACTATATAATATGCAGAATTGATACACCCTTCACTGCGCAGGGTGTGTGCGCAAGGTGAATGTGCGTAACCTGAAGCCCTTGTAATCTCACTAGCCTGGATGTATTTTTTGTAGTCCCCAAACTCCATTCGTGGTAGGGTCACACAGCTTGGCACTGGCAGGTCTGGGTCTTGCCTTTGGAAAGCACGCGCAGTCATGAATAATTAAGAAGCCGGCTCTTCTCATAGGATAAGAAAACTCTGCTATGAATAATAATGAGATTATGACCCCGCCCTAAAAATCATTTTAAACCTGGAAGCTGAAATTAGCTGACAAAAGCTCCAAATTATCCAGTTTTTCCCACAAATAAAGCTAACAGGTGCTAACATTCTCTTAACTGATGCTCAACACACACAAATCTGTTAAAATCCAAATATTTAAAAATTCCTAATCCTTAAACTGTAAGGAATCGAATTTGATAAGCAAACAAAAAAAATGCATTTGATGCCATTTTATATTTGATCTGGACCTATATAAAACATTTCAAAATGTAAAAAATCCAAAAAAAAATTATATATGACTGAAGAATTGTATGAGTTGTATCTCCTGGGATACATTGACAGATTAGGGTATACAAAAGGACCAAGTCTTTATTATTTATTTTTTGTTATTTGCAGCTAAATACAATACAGCACTTCTGTCTTTGTGTTGTGTCCTTTGGAAGCCCAAATACAGAAATAAAAGAAGCTCTGTGGGAATAGCAGCGTTTGGACGCCATTTTAGCTTTCTCTGCTGTAACATTACAGTGCCTCTGGCCACGCCTCTTCACTGCGCAGGGTTTGTGCGCATGGTGAATGTTGTGGATTTAACATGGATAATTATTAATATTAATATCATTATTATTTATTACTGATTTATTCATTTTCTTGTTAGTTTTTTTATTGGTTTGTTTTTTATCTTATTTTGTGCTAAAAAAAACATTATTTATTTTTGTTTTGTTTTTTAAAACAAAATAAGATCAAAAAAATTAAACAAATTAAAAGTAATAATTAATGTACAATTTATGTACCTTTTTGCATATTCTAATAAAAAAATAAAATAAAAAAAGTAATAATTAATAATATAATAATTTTCTTGTGAAAAACCTTACGTGGCTCAACCACACCCAGACTCTGCCTTCAGCGGCCCCCAGGTAAATTGAGTTTGAGACCCCTGCTTTACATTGTACTGCGAGCGTCCTACATTCAGAGATGTTGTTTATGTTCACACAGCTATTACCCCTTTGGACCACCCCTTTAAATAGCCAAAATAACCTTTTATTATTATTATTATTATTATTATTACTATTAATTATTATTCAGTGGCTGGATTGGGCTTCCATATAAAGGTGTAGTTCACCTAAAATTAACATTTGCTGTTGATTCACTCATCCAATGCCACCCAAGATGACTTTTATTCAAGATTGTACCCAAATTGTGGTTGTTGTTAGTCGTAAAATGCAAATGACTGTCTATCCTCACTTTGCAAGTCAAATTCACACATGCAGACAACACAAAATGAACACTTGTGGCTGCTGATGATTCACTGAGCTCTCATGAGGTGACATGTTTGTGTTTCGTTTCCACAGATTCCAGTCGCTTTTGTGGTTCTACTGAAATCGCGATCCGATTGGTCGTCTCCATGCTGATGGGTGTGGCTACTGTTGCTCTGGTGATTTATGATGTCAGATCTGGAGGAGGAGTCAACGAGGTGTTCCAGTGCTAAAATAAATACCACAGCTGACAAAACTAGTGTGACTTACTGTAGCATATCTGTTTGTGATTCACGTATGAATGAATGAAAGCTGTGCTATTTAATCAAATGTTATTTACAGAGCTCTAAAATAATGCATCTGCTAATTGTTAAAATGCTGACATGATTAATCACATGGTTAAAGCTAGTGGTGGGCAAAGCGAGGCTTCATGAAACACTGAAACATTTGAAGCAAATGAGTCGAAGCTTTAAAACGTTTCGAAACCCCACTCTACGGTGACGCCTAGTGGTCATTTTTTATGTATTGCACCGAAACATCTTCAGCAAGAACATTTCAGCAAACTGAGGTATTAAACCCCACTTTGTAGAAATATATATTCAAGAGATTTAGTGGAGCAGTTAAGGTTTCTGCCCTCCATGTGGAGATAGTGGGTTCGAATCCAGGCTGATGCAGCTATTTTGAAATGCTTTAATACTAGTTGGGAATGCTCTGATCTTGTTTCGTTTTGTTTTAACATTGGTCTGACATCCGAATAAACACTTTGTGAATGAATATGTCTTGTTTTGGTATTAAAACGGTTATTGCTAGATCAGACACAGTTGTGGCCAGAAGGTATTAAGAATTAATTATATTATTCATTAAATTTCTCATTTATTGTATTTCATTAACGTCTACCCAAACCCTCAACCCAACCATCAGTAGTGTTAAAATATTTATTATTGTTTTAGTGTTACAAAAACAATGCTATATTGATGGCGTATCCGCAGCTGTAATCTATTTAGGCTACCCCATAAAACAGAAATATAATTAAAATACATAAAACCATGATTTGAGAGTATTTGTACAATCGGGATTCGAACCCAAAAGACATCGGAAGAATAGTAACAGCGCGCACACGCACAGTCCACGAGGCCATATAACATAGGTCAAAAATTGGACTCCGGCAGTAACATGTAGATTTGCCAGGTCCCGAAATGCTTCCTAACTGATCGATGCTTTGAATCAGTTTAGTCACGTGACCTGGGTGTTTCGGATCATGCACAGTGTTTCGAGACACTTGCGCTTCGGGATCTCGAAACTGTGTCGAAACGTCAGTTTCACGTCAGCCATCCTTAATAAAAAGCAAATACTGATGTCTAAACTATTGTCGGATGAATATATTTGAATCTGGATTATTATACAGTCTCTTTCTCTAAATAAAAGACAAAATATCTGAAGCTTTGATTTATATTTAAATGTTTATTTTATTTTAAACTGAAACCTTAATCTTAATTGTTATTACATAAGATCGTTTGTAATGAATTAAGCATTGTCCATAAATGAAATATCATTAGAGATGCACCCACAGGAAATTTTGTGTCTTGTGTAGTGTATGTAAACATCCATTTTAGGCGTCACGGTGACGCATTGGGTAGCACCTCACAGCGAGAAGATCGCTGGTTTGAGTCTCAGCTGGGTGTTTCTGTATGGAGTTTGCATGTTCTCCCCGTGTTGGCATGGGTTTTCTCTGGGTGCTCCAGGTTTCTAAACACATGCGCTATAGGGGATTTGATCAACTAAATTGGCCGTAGTGCATATGTGTGTTAATGCAAGAGTGTATGGGTGTTTCCCAGTGTTGGGTTGCGGCTGCAAGGGCATGCGGTTCATAAAACATATGCTGGATAAGTTGGCGGTTCATTCCACTGTGGCAATCCCTTATTAATAAAAGGACTAAGCTGAAGGAAAATGAATAAATAACCGCTTTTATTTTGTACAGCTTATTAACCTTTGGTTCATAAATCACCCTACTTTAATTTTAATATTTTAAAGGGTGTAGTACATTCACAGAGGCCAGACTGACTCAATACAGGTGAGATTTTACCCATATTTTCACTCATATCTGTACAGTACACAAGTATTAGAGTGATTTATGAAGGATCATGCGACTCTGAAGACTGGATGAAGCTGAAAATCATCTTTAAAATCACTGGCATAAATGATTAAATTACATTACTGCGATTAACTGATTTTCTACCCAACCAATCATCATAGTCTGGAAATAAAAAAGTAGTGACTGCAGCCTCAGGTTGAGTAAAAATACGACACTCAAGGGAAAGTAAAAGTACACATTTAAAAAACTACTTCTTAAATTACAATTCCTGAAAAAAAAACCGACTTCATTACAGTCATTTGAGCATTTGTAATTTGTTACTTTGCACCACTGGTCCTCATGTCACAAAAACATGCACACAAGCATTTACTTACACAGCACAGCTGTTTCCTTGACGTTTTCCTTTTACGGTACGCATTGCATGTACTGGTTTCGCTGACTTCCTGTGTATGCTCTGCGGTAGATGAAGTGATAAAGAAGATATTTGACCAAAAATGTTCAATGTTCAAATGCTCGGTTCAAGATGACCCAGGATCAGCTGAAATGTTACAGGTACTGTCTTTAGTTCATGCTTTTTAAGAAAAACTTATACTCTTACTCTGAACGTTGCCAAAATGTGCAACTGTTAAAACGAAAGTATATAAACTTGGTTCCAGTTTAAGCCCAGCGAGGCGTAAAACATTTTATATTCTTGCTTAAGTTCTTAGTGAAAGGTTAGAAGTCGTGTGTTCATGCTATTATTTGAGGCTATAGAGTTTAAATCAAACATTTTAAGTGTTTTCTTACTGTAATTACCTCCAGTGGAATTGAACTGCTGTAAGATATCAGATATGTAACACAATTGCAACTAGTCAGTGTTCAGTACGTTTTTTAAAAAATGTTGGGTTATTTTAGCCTAACATTGGGTCATTTAAACCTAGCTGATGGGTTTAAAGTGTAATTTAGGTTTACTTGAAAAATAGAAGAACCCGAAGTTTGGTTTGTCTAAATTTGACCCAACATTGGACTTAAAAAAAACCCACAGACCACATACAAAAATAACAATAGATACTGATGAAATCATGTAGAAGTTAAACCACATTAAAGCAAACAGGATACTCACAAAAAGGCGGTATCTTATCTGATTTGGCAGAGTTTTGTCCTCTAGTGGACACAAAAGGAATAAACACAAGGGCTAGTAGTCAGTGCCAAACTTAAAAGGAATAAAACTGCTTTACAACGTTTTATAACACATCAGAGCTCTATATTTAAACTGGTGTTGTTGTTTTTAGCTTGACGTTATGTAAATCTGCCCCTCCACTCCGGGTGTGGAAACCTGTCAGTTGACGTTGCTGTTGGTCTCCACAAGATGGCCTTAGTACCCAGCTAAACAACGCAGTGTATTTAAAAAAGGTCAGACTGACCAGCTTAAACCAGGGCTCGTTTCAGTATCTCCGGATTTCAAATGTTAACTTTAATTTAATGTTCGTGTTAAGTTTCAATCCAGTATATATCAACCTTTTCAGCTCTAGTCAAACCCATAGACTGTAAAATATATGTCAAACCTTATCATAGTGTAATCAGAGCTAATCATATCCGGTAGGAGGCGCCCCTGTCGCATCTAAGGTCAGGAGAAGTAAAACATCAGGTTCATGACACCATGATGAGTACAATGACAGGCAGTGCAGTTTAAGGGTTTTTAATCTAAACAAGAACAAATGAAACCCAAAAGCATTAGAACAGTGTATATATATTTAGTTGACTTATGTACTTTGTCCCAAATATTTCAATGAATGTAACACTTTACAATACAGGACACATAGTTAATTTTGTTTGATGCATTTACTAACAAGAACAAACAATGCACAATACATTTAGGCTATTAGAGTATTTATTAATCTTTGTAAACATTAGTTATTGAAAATACAGTTCGTGTTAACTCATGGCGCACTAACCAAGGTTAACATTCACAGGGTTGGATTTTAATAGTGCATTAGTATTTGCTAAACTATTTATGCTGTACAAGTGTAGTTTATTGTTTATTCATGTTAGTAATCATTAACCATGTGCCCTGTATTGTAAAGTGTGACCGAATGTTCAAATTATAATCCATGCTATATTTACACAACACAAACAGCCTATGTTAAAACAATTCTTGTATATTGGTAAAGTTATGATAATCAGCGATCCAGCCTGTGTAGATCGCTGGAATATACACAGACTGCCATTATTTGGACTACAAGATCCAGTCATCCACCACACACATACACACACCTGCTCCAAGTCTCCACTGATTAGACATTCACGACTGAAGCTGCTTGTGACAGACTGTAAATGTAATGTGAAATGCCATGTAAAATGCCATGTAAAATGAGCATTTTTCTCAGCCTTGTATATTAATGTTCAGTTATTTCACTTTAAAGGCAATGAAAAGAACGTATTTGTCACTATAAAGGTAAAATCCACACTCGGGAATTGGAGAAAAATGCTCATTTTAGAAGAAAATATTGAATGGCATTTAGAGGTTTTTGCATCTAAACTCTTCAAATATGTAAATATACTTATTTTTAAAATACAATTTTTTTTAATCATAATTTTATTTGGGAAATCTGTTAAAACTTGATTTAAATTAAAAACTGAAGCCCATAGGCAAATAACCAACTGGCCGGCGCATTCAACCTTCCTCAGTGAAAATTTGCCCATTTGAACAATAAGATAAATTCAAACATAATAATAATAATCCAACTTTTGGTCTTTCAAACCTCCTGACCCTCTTGGCTACATGCATGACTATTTAATTTAACTTAATAAATTGTAAGTAGAGAGGATTACTTAATAATACATTTTAATAGCAGTTAAATAATAAATAGCAATATATATATATATATATATATATATATAAACAATATTCATATATATATATATATATATAAACAATATTCATTCTGGGCGGGGGTGACTCGTCCCCAGTCCCCACCAATGTCAAGCGCAAACCTACGCCCTTGTAACAGCATTCTCCTGGCAAGCTGACAAGATCAGTTCATGTTATTTTGATTACATCAAAAGCCGCATGCAGAGGTTCAGTGAGTCACCTAGAATTGTTTATTTATTTAGGGTTTAATGCCATATCAGCAGCACTCGCTTTATTAATTGCAAAAAAAAAAAAATTATATATATATATATATATATATATATATATATATATATATATATATATATATATATATATATATATATATATATATATATGTATATATTAAACATTTGAATGAAGACAGTGCTCTGCTGCCACCTCCTGGGTGGTTTTGATATCTGTTCTACAATTTAATTAATAAGTTACAAATAATTTCATAATCTAATATTACTGAATTAAAATGCAGTCTTGGTTTTATTTTTGTATTATTTGTAAATACAGGGTAAATACTTTATTACCACTTTCTAACAACCCTTCTGTGCCCATTTCTGCACTGTAGATCTTTAAAAATATTTTTAATAATGATTTTGTTTGGTTATTAAGAGTCACATACTACATTGTTATTCTATTTCATTTAATTAGAATATTAAATAAACTTAATATTATATTAATAGTGTGGCACAAATGGCCAGTTTTATTTATTACTTATCTATCAGGACACAAATTAATGAAAATAAATTTGACATTAATAAGTGCAGCACTCGTGTAAACTTCTGATTTTTTTATTTGACAAATGCTGATAAATAAATACCAACTTCATCTTCAGTAAAAACACAAACACAAAGCAATACAGTCAGTTGAAAGTCCCTCTTTCTCGGTTTAAGTAAAAATCTGGCAGATCTGTGTTTTTTAGCTGTCAGATGTCTCACCTACAGAACATCTGTGTATGCACATGCACACGTACAAAAGGAAGACTGACAATTTATAGAAAATAATAATAATAATTTAAGATACAGCAGTTTGTGATTATTATCTTTAATAAACATAAAACAATTATATATTTTTTACAGGGAAATTCCACTACAGCATTAAAGTAACAATCTGCAGTAAAAAAGTGCTTGGCATATTCTGTATTCTTTATCATGTGTACACACACACACAGCCTGCTTCTTGAAATTTGGATTACTGACAATGGCTCGGCGAGGCAGTGACGCAGTAGGTAGTGCTGTCACCTCACAGCAAGAACGTTGCTGGGTCGCTGATTCGAACCTCGGCTCAGTTGGCGTTTCTGTGTGGAGTTTGCATGTTCTCCCTCCCTTCGCGTGGGTTTCCTCCGGGTGCTCCAGTTTCCCCCACAGTCCAAAGACATGCGGTACAGGTGAATTGGTTAGGCTAAATTGTCT